GCGGAGGCCAGCGAGACTTACCTGTGGCGCCATAGCTCCAGCTCCATCTTCGAGGTACCTGGATCAAGGCGTCATCTTCACAAATTAGTATTGGACACAGAGAGAGAGAGAGAGTTCTTCTTCTTCCTCTTCTAAGTCCACCATCTCTTCTTCCCTTTTGGCCACCTAACTTCTCAGTATCAGCGGACTACTACAGAGAGAGAGAGAGAGAGAGAGTTGTGACTTGAGACTTGACGACATTGGATCCAGACCCGACATTGGGATTCAGACATTTGACGAGGGACTATTTGGGCATGTGCCGAAGACTTGGTGTTGACGACATTCCCATCTTTCCCTCTTCTTCGTTTACCCCCCCCCTCTTCTTCGTCTGTGTATGGTTCGGGGTTGGCGCCTACTTCCTGTGTGAGCGCCGGACCCCTTCACACCATGGAGATGATGATGATGATGTATGTTTTGGGCTGCATTGCAATATTGATTGTTTGGATCATTGGTATCTAAGTCTTCCGGTACGCTATCTTGTTCTTCGTATTGAGAGGTCGGTTCTTGTTCTGGTCTGCACCGTTACAGTATGCAACACACGGTCTAGCGTACCCATGCTAAAATCCTATTGGATTTGTACTTGTTTGGCTTGCTGGTTGAAAATGCAGTGTAGTACTGAGGAACGCAGAGGATTCCGACCATGTTTTGGCACCAGAGTTGTGTATCGGATGCCTGTTCAGCAAGAGGGAACACTGACATGTGTTACATGCCCAGTTGGGCGATGTACATAATAACCGAGGATCCGCAATGTGATAAAAAGGACTGAATGGACAATGCAGTGCAAGTGGAATCTCAACAAGCAATGTGCATTCCGATACATACAAAAGGTGCTTTATAGCGCAGTGGAAGACTTAGATACAAGTCCTGACCTGACCAAGACTGACCTTTATCACGTTGTACAAGATAGCGAAGCAGAATGCTAGAATACTGATGACTAGCCCAACCAAATGTTTCAACGTAGACCAAACATACATCATGCTCATCACAGGGTGTGAAGGAGCCTGGCGATGTACACAGGAAGGAAGTGCCAGGTCCAGACATACACAGACGAAGAGGAGGGGATCGGACGAAGAGGAGAGGGAAAGATGGGAATGTCGTCAACACCAAGTCTTTGTCATGGGTCCCAAATAATCCCTCGTTGCAATGTCTGAAGTCCAAAGTCGAGTCTGGATCCAATGTCACCAAGCTCTCTCTCTCTTCTCTCGTAGTCTGCTGATGCAGTGAAGTGAGATGATGAGAGGGTGAGAGGGAGATGGTGGATTGAGAAGAGGAAGAAGAAGAACTCTCTCTCTCTGTTACGAGCCAGGTACTAACCTATGAAGTTGGCGCTGTGCTGCAGGTACCTTGAAGACGAAGCTGGAGCAACGGCGCTACAGGTAAGGACCTCTGGCCTCCGCCCAATCTCTCTCTCTCTCTAGTGCTATCCTAGCTATGGCACCCGACGCTGGAGACTACAGCTACCAACTGCGCCCAACACTGAAGACTAAGGCTAACGCTACTACTACTCCTGCAGCGCTCCCTCCAGAGTGCTGCTCCCATCTGCAGATCTGGGACGGACGTCAAGCGTTGGTACTCGGCGATCCAGTCGACACTCGGCAGCGTGCATTGCTCGAAATAGAGCAATTTATCCATGGCTTTGATCTCTGGCGGCTCCACTTGGAACCGCTTGTGCCATGCTGCCTTGAGGTCTTCCCAGCTGATCTTGGTATGCAGGTCTGCAGCGACCACGCCGTACTTGGACAACAGATTGTCCAGCCATGCCTGGCATGCGCCCCCTGACCGGGAGTACAGGTATGCGTGGTTCTTATGTTCACTGACATGATGGAGCTGCAGCGTCAATTCAAACTTGCGAAACCATGGAATTGGTTCCGTTTTGGACGAATCGAGGAAGATTGCCTGGCCGTCCCACTTTGGGGTCGACTCACGTTCTGCGGAACTTGGATTGACGGCCGCAGTGCAGATCCGCTGTTCCAATTGCTGGACGGCGGTGTGCTGTATCTGCATGCCATCCTTGACTGTCCCCATGTCGATCTCCAAGGCATTGAGACGGTCCGAAGTGTTGGAGGAGCTGGCGGCGGGGGCGGCGACTGCTTGTTGCAGCTGCTGAAAACGGCTGTTGAGGCTATCCAACGTCCGTTTGTGATGCTGCACCGAGTTGTCGAGGTTATGGATGTCCTCCTGCTGTGCAACGCACGTGGCCAGGAGGTCTGTGAGATGAGAGAGGAGTAGAGCAATCTTGCTTTCACTCTCCTCCATCTTCACAGTCTCGGCCTCAGTCCGCCAGTCCGTGGCCATTGCGAGCAAGGCTCGCACTCCCTTGAAAATCTTCTCTCGTCGCTGTATTCTTTCTTCATCAGCAGCCTTAGCTGCTGCCTTGGCCTGCAGGCGCTGTTGTTCTACTGCCAACAGACGTGCCTGTTCGGCGTCCTCTGCCTTCTTCCTGGCTGTAGCAGCGACCGCATCCGATCGTTGCTTAGCCTCGGTAATCATGGCCAGCATATGGATCTGGTAGTCCGCGTCCGTTTCTCCTGGCTTCTGGTCCATGGGGGCTGTTTGCAAGCGCGTGAGCATGAACCAGCCCGGAGAGCTGCTGAAGTGGCACCCCCTGCTGCCGAGGCACTGTTTGGCTGCTGATGTGTCACTGCTGATGTGGCACTGCCCGGCTGCTGACGTGTCACTGCTGACGTGGCACGGCTGACTTGGCACTGCCCGGCTGCTGATGTGTCACTGCTGACGTGGCACTGCCCGTCTGCTGACGTGTCACTGCTGACGTGGCAACTTACCAATGCCGCAGTAGTGGTACCCGGATGAAAGAATAAGATCAGAGGTGGCAACAACATAGGTGGGGAGGGGTGGGTGGGATAAATCGCCCAGATAAGGAGCCACTAATCAAAAAAAAATTTGTTCAGTAGGTCTCCCAACCTCCCTTGACTTCAGACTGCAAATGATTTATACAACTGACCAGGATTGCACACCCCGACGGTCGGCGGCCCTTGACTGGTCGGCCGCCGACCCGCCGACCGATCGGCTGGTCGGCACCTAGCGGTCGGGGATCATCGGCACCCCGCACTTTTTTTTTTTTTTTTTGGGATCCAGAACCCCTAATAACCCCACCCACATCCCCAATACCTGCGTACACCAACCTAACACTCCCAAACCGCCCCCAACATCCTTATTAACCCCCCTAATATCCCCTATATCACCCCTATACTCCACCTATACTCCAACCCATACCTGCGTCGTATCGCGTGCGCGTGAGCTCCGCATGTGCGGCGCATAACGCACGTGTAAGCATGCACGCGCACGTGATGCGACGAACCCCACTAAATAGGATATAAAAAAAAACTTGAAGAAGGCTGGCTGCGGTAGCCAATGGCGCACCTTCCCACAGAAAAAAAAATAGGGCCCACGTATTCCTTCTTGAATAGTCTTTTTCGCGGAGGACCCCRGCAGTACATATGCAAGGGTCCCAACATCTCAAGAGATGTTCAGCAAATTTCGTGTAGAAGAAGAGCAGGCCAGCAATATATGCTCTGGATCCGAAGTCAGGTCTGCTTTCGAGCAGTTATGGGTTACAAGTTACAACTACTTACTACTGTAGCTCTCTCTTTCTTTCGTTTCTTTTTCCTACGAGCAGTGCCCTAAGGGCCTTGCCCCACTCGTCACCAGCACAAAAGCCAAAACATATGCGGCGTATGTGTTCCATGTTCTAGCAGAAATTCATTCCTCTTTCTTTTGTTTCCTTTTCCTACGACAAGTGGCCCTAAGGGCCTTGCTTCACTCGTCACCACTTGCACAAAAGACAAAACATATGGCGGCGTACAGTTCCATGTTCTAGCAGAAGATTCATTCTACTTTTGCACATTTTTAGTGGAGGGAAGCCCTGAATTGCACGTGGTGAGTTGGCCTGCTATTGCCCTGAAGCTCGCGTGCTCAGTGGTCCCATGACTGCTGAAACACGGACCTTAAAGTGAATCAACAGCATATATACTTGACGTGCCATACTTTCAGCATGGCTATGACTACTACCTCGTTCATGGCAACGTGGCCCTTGCTGATTGTGTGCAGGGCCCTCTCGGATATCCCGCAGGGGGTTTGAAGTAAATATTAATAAGGAGTAATTGGTTACATTTTTCCCCCTCTCTCTCTCTCTCTCTCTCTCTCTCTCTCTCTCTCTCTCTTTTGCGTGTTCTCACACATAACAGCCGTTTTTTTTTCCTTTCCTTTGTTTTTCTTCTTTTTTTTTTTTTTTT